GCATGCCAACCTTGCCCGGGTACGCCTGGAAGGCCATCCCCTGCGCTCCTGCCACCTTCTTATGACGGCCGAGGCGAGATCGCTGACGACGTAGAGGTTCTCGCTCTTCTCGGGGTCGAGGTTGTCTCGTGTCTGCTTCACGCGCTCGGCGTACTTGTAGATGAGGCCGAGATTCTTCTCCGTGGCCACGTGGCTGATGTAGTAGATGAGGTACTGTGCGTGGTCGACCAGGTTCTCCGGGTCGGTGCTGTAATCTGGGTGGTGAGCCAGCAGAGGGATGAGCCTTGCCAGGATCGCCTCCATCGGGTTCTGTGGGTTCCCCGCCATTGACTGTACCCTTGAGCGGATCCACGTTTCAATGTGCTGCTTGAGCTCCGGCTCCGGCTCGTACGCGGTCAGGAAGATGATCGTGTAGAAGCGGTGGCGAAGCCTGTTGAGGACGAGGTACTTCATGAGCTTTTCCACGAAACCCTTGCGAACACCAAGCACAGCATCCTGCACGAGATACGCCAGAGTGTGGAAATCCTTGTGGTTCAGCGTATCGTCGAGATGTTTCAGCGTGCACAGCTTCAAGATAAGCTGGCCGGCCAGCAGGCGCAGGCGGGAGCGGAAGTGCGCCGGCGTGTTCCCAGTCTTACTGATCTCGCCGTCCTTCTTGACGAGCGTCATAAGAAGCTTCATCACCGACACCGCCTGGGCCTTGGCCTCTTCCTGATCCTCATTGCTGCGGATGCGGTTGACAGCAATACGCAGGGAGTACAGCTTCGCCTGGAGCTCCTCGCTCATGTTGGCGTCTTCTACCCACTGAGGTGCACTAGAGTCGTCAACGGCCTCTTCGCGCGTTGTGCGGACGATCTTCTGGATGGCCATGTCGAGAATCTCCTCATCCTTCTCTTCTACCACTTTGGGCGCTTGCAGATACAGTTGAGCAATGACCTGCAGCTTGTTCAAGAAGTGAGGCGCGCCATACTCAAACTGCTTCATGGCCTTTTCAAAAACGGCTGTTGCCGTGACCTGCCCCTGCTTATCGTTCTTGGCCAGCATGATCTTGATTGCATATTTGGATGCTTTCACAGGACGGCCGTACAGGGCGTAGTGCTGCAGTGCGCGAGTGAATTTCTGGGTATCGGGAATCTCTTTGGGATACTTCTTGGCAAAGGAAGAACAGGCCCGCAGGATATCCACGGTACTTGGGTCATTGGTCTTCTTCTCCGTGGGGGCTTGCTCGACAAGCTCTTCGCACAGATCGCCGACAAAGTTCTTGAACATGTCAGGATTCCGAGCGGAAATTTCGTGCAGGATCTCGTGGGCAATCGTGCCGAAGCTCTCCTTGTTGCTCTTGGATGATTCCAATATGGCAGAGAGGTGGCTCTTGTTGAAGATGATGCAAGCTGACCGATACAGGAAAGGAATCAAGGTATCGAGCGCAGCAGCAAGGTCCTGGCCCTTCGGGCTATTCTGCATACGCTTCACCAGCTCCTTGATCGCTCCGCGGACCGTCTTGTAGTCGCTCTGGGAGCTGATGGCGAACCTGATGAGCTGATAGTTTCGGCGGTCGTGCGCCTTGGCAAATCTCATGTAGTCCGACTTGACCTTGAGAGGATCAGGGAAGAACTGGCCAATGTACTGAATGGTCCTCTCCAGCGCAGCTGTCCTCTTGGGGCCCTCAGCGTCCATGACACCGCCATTGTAGGCCTCGCACTGCTTGATAAAAGCCTCGAGGACTTGGCCAAATTGAGGTTGTCGCGCCTGCATGGTGAAGAAAGCCTTGCGAGCTTGAGCGTCGAGCGACTGCACAAGCAACAGGATCCTTTCGGTGCGCAGGCTGTCTTGTTCCGAGGGAACGCTTGTGACAGACTGGCTCTGGCTCGCCGTGTTCTTAGAACCTTTGGTCTTAGTGGGCGGGTACGAGAGCGGCAGCAGGCACTCGAAGATGACTCGGTCAATCAAGACGTTCAGCTCGAGGTGGTTGGCGTACCATGCGTTGAAAATAGTCGACGGAATGCTCTTGAGAGCTGTGGTGACGAGCTCCTGTCCAGCAGCCAGCTCGCCCGCGCCGACACCCCAAAGCTTTGCGAGTAGCGTCATGGCTTCCACGCGGATCGCCGGACGCTTGTCGCGACACCTATCCAGCAGGCTGCGAATGATGGGAGTTTCTTTGTCACTGCCACCGCCAGAGCCAAGCTTCAGAACAAAGTCTCGGAACCCAAAGAGCTCGATCGTCTTCACGGCTGCCAGTCTAACCTTCTCGTCGCCGTCGCCCAGCTTCTCAGCAAGGGCGCGGACCAGCTCTGCTTGTTCCTCGCGGCTCAGACCGATACCGCCTGCCGAGGTGGACAGAATGTAGCCAACTGCAGTTGTCCAAGCGGCGCGGATCGCTGGCGTCTTATCTCTGCTTCTGCCGATGAAGCTCGTGTACGCAGTGTGGTGGGTCTGCGCAAACGACTGTGGTGACAAGGGTGTCGTCAGGATACTGAGAGAAACTTGCGAAGGGTCCTCGTCAGCAAGACGCAGAGGAGGATAAGCTGCTGGGTCCAGGACCGGCACAGGAGGTGGTCCAGCCGCGCCAATGCCGGAGATCATATCGCCCAGCGTTTCCGTGGCAATCTGTCGCAGCTCGACATTGTCAGCGGAGAGCTCAGCCTCAACCTGAGGAATAACATTTTGCAGCACCGAGGGGGCGGCACGCCAGAGTTCCTTGATGAGCAGGTGCGCCTTTCTTAGCTCTCTGACCTCGGAGTCTGTCGGCCCCCTAGGAGTGTCGTCGTCCTCATTGTCGCCGCCGTGACGGTGGCCGTTGGATTTGGCCGCGAACCGAGACGCGTCAATGATGACGTCGCTGAAGTATTGGCTCACGTAGTGGACCATCTTTCTCTGAACACTTGCATGCCAGATTTTCCTTTGGCCATTGACATTAGGCCAGGGGGCTCGGGACTTCAGGGAGCAGTGTCGACTGGACTGCTGGTGTTCGCGCTCTGGGCGCGAAGCTTTGCGCC